GTGGACCCCAGGCTAACTATTCAGAGGGAAAATAGACAGCAACTAGTGATATAGTTTTAGGTACAGCAAACAAAAAAAGGATTAAAAAAATTGTGAGCCTGGTTAAGTAATTATGTTGCGGTGTTTCCAGAATTTCCTCTAAAAATAAATATAGCCTTTTAATTACTACTACATAACAACCTACAAAGAACAAAAACACCAAAAATTAAAGTTACTACTGTTGGCTTAACACTTTGTATGTAAGCTGATAAACCTTATTCATGGGATTTATACATTTTCACAAAATTGGAATCCCCTTTAAACTTGTTTCTTTGGCTTTAACAACATATTTCAATAAATTTTCCTCCACATCATTTTTAACAGGTGAATACTAATAATACAGTAAAGAATATTCTTTCAAACTGCTACCTCTTTATTTCCTAATGATACATTGCTAGAACTGCTGGGTCAAATGTACAAGCTAAGGCTTCTGATACATATTGTTTAACCTCTTTCCAGAAAGGTGTTGCCAATTTATACCTTTGGCGCTACAAGCAGCTCCATTGCTCTGAGCCCTTGACAATATTATCAAGAAACAGTCACTAGTTAGAAACCTGAAATACTAAATTAACATGTAACACATTTTGTCACTCATAAATTGGGCTTACTACTAACTTTTGTTACTACAGTTCAAAATTCTAACAAATAGGTTAGATGAAGAAACAGGTGCCAAGGAAGATACAAAATAAATCACACCACTTTTTTGGTTTCTACCCTGAAAATACTTGCACTGTCTGCTTTTATTATTTATTTGCCAATTGCCTTCACTGATTGAGCTTTTTTCTTGTCTGTGATAACTTCACAGATTTCTCAGGAAATGTTATGTATCTTCATTATTGAGGACTGGAAGTTAGGTATATTTCATTAGTTTTAACACTGATTTTTCTTGGATTTTACAAATCGTGGAAGACCTACGTAATCTTGAGTGAGGATTTCATTTATTCAATGGTTTATTCATTCACTCATTCACACTCATCTAATTCCTCCTGTTTACATGTGACAAAGCAGTGAATAAAACAAATGTGGTTCCTGTTCTCCTGAAGTGTACATTTTGGTAGGGTGAGGGAGCCAGATAAGAAGGAAGATAATGATGAATAATGAATGCCACTAAGGAAACAGAGGGTGAGGCAGCATTGTGGCACAAATTAAGGCATGGCTTAGGACATAGTCCTGGCTACTCTTTCTTGGTTAATGCACCTGGGAACACAGCAGATTGTCCAAGAACTTGGGTTGCTGCCACATATGTGGGAGACCAAGACAGAGTTCCTGGTTTTTCAAGCTTCAGCTTGGGTCAGCCCTGGCTGTTGTAGGCATTTGGAGAGTGAACCAGTGGACTGAAGACAGTCTCTATCTCTCTGTCATTTTGCCTTTCAAATAAAATCTTTTAAAAAGGAAGACAGGAATATGGTAGAAAATAAAACGGAAAAAGCAGCTACTGTAGAGGGTAGCCAAAGCCAGCCCACCAGAGATGGTGTTTAAGACCCGTGGGATGAGAATGAATCAGGCATATAAAAGACACAGGAAAGTCACACTGTAGGCAGGGGACCCTGGGGGAGGCGGGAAGGGCAGCGGTTAAGTTCAGCTAAGCACAAGACATCCTAAATAGGCTGTCATAAGAAGGGAGTTTGCTTTTTTACTGCCTGACACCCGCTCATCCCCCGCTTCCCAACACTGACTAGGAATCAACGTGAGGAATTCAAGCCTGGTTCAGAGATCTGCTCCATAAAGTCCTCAAGAACTGAGGCTCCCACCAGCTTCCAGGGGTGCCTACTTTAGGTTCAGAGAACTTACAGATGGTATTCCAGCTGCAGAGCATAGGGAGAGAAACAGATGACTAAAGTGTGTATCTCTCTTTAAGACCTCCTCTGGAAGGGTATCTCATGACTCATCTTCTTATTCTACTTGCCAATATGGTCACGTAACTAAAGGAAGGCTGGGAGTCTTTTGGGCAGCCATGTGTCCATGTCTAAGACCATGACAAAAATGGAAGAATGTGGGTTTTGGGGAGGAACATTCTCTCAAGCTGGAATGATTACACCTGACAACAGAAAGTGAGCGAGAAGGTGGGAACAACACTAGCTGAGTAGCAGACCAGGTATGCTGCCTAAACCCACAGTAAAGGAATGCTTTTATTCTGTCCCCCTGGATATGGTGCATTAAAAGGTTTTTAAAAAGAAAGTGACACAACCAAAGATTTTGGCTGGTATTTGGAAAAAGCAGAAGCAAACTTTTGGTATTGTTGTGGTCCAGCAAGACGGTAGCTCACACAGGATGGCAGCATTAGTGAAGGTATGGGCTGATAATCTACCAAATGGTTCTGGCTGATGTGTGGCTGTAGAGTGTGAATAAGCAGAGAAAATGGTGCGTTTTACATCTGAGCAAGTGGGATCATGGTGGTGCAAATCATGAACTCCAGGGAGGCCAGGGGAAGAAGTTACAGCAGGACAAAATTCAGTGTTCGCTCTCAGCAGACTGTATTGAGAGCTTGCCTCCTTCTTATCCTTCATGAGCACCTTTTTTTTTTAATGGAAAGCAATCAGATTTATGAAAGGAGAGACCAACAAAAGATTTCCATGCACTTTTCACTCCAAATGATCACAATGGCTGACTAGCTGACCAAAGCTGGAGCCAGAGCTTCCCTGTCAGGTCTCCACAAGGTGCAGTCTCAAGCTTTGGGCATCCTCTGTCCTCCTAGCCACAACAGGACGACCGGAAGTCGGAGCATCTGATATACAACTGCATCCTTATGGAACTGTGCTGTAGTGAGATTTAGCCATTGAGCCATCATGCTGGGCTCCACCAATTCATTTTTTAGGGTAGCGTTTCTTTAATCCAAGACAGCAACTGTTTCTAAGTATATCCCAACACATAACACACACAAACCATAAATTGGGTTACAAGTGGGTTTTGTAGCTGCAGCCTATGCCGGATCCATACGGATCCCATCTGACTCGTGGCCTCCGCTCTCGATCCGTTTCCCAAGCTAATTCTACTGAATGCAGCAAGAAGCTCTAAATGCTGGGCACCCGCCACCAAAAAGAAAAAGCAACGAAGTGTCCTGATTCCCCCCACCCCCCTTTGGCTTCACCTGGCTCAGACCTGGCTGTTGCAGCCATTTGGGGGAGTTAACCAGCAGGGGGAAGATAGTTGCCACTCTGCCTTTCAAATTAATAAACCTTTAAAACACACACACACACACACACACAGAGTTTTTCAAGAAAATCCACTCCCGGTGTATTTTTTAATAGTTTAAAAAAGCAAGCTACCAACTGGGCAAATTAAATCAGCACTTGAAATAAAGGACTTTGTGATATAATGGAACAACTTTTTAAAAAATATCATTTCTTAAATGCTTACTAGAAAAACATAAATGCTAGCTAATTTAATACCTGTGAACATCCCTTGAGGTAAGTATTGAAGAAATTTTACAACGGATTTGGCACAAGTAATAGAACCATTAAAAACACGTTCTTCAAGTGAATTCAATATAAACAAATGTTCTCAAAACAGAGAGCATCAGCATACGTTTTCCAATACTTGTGCCCCACACACTAGCGAAAATGTCTGTTGTACCATTTCTTCTAATAAAATATGCAAGGGTCAGACCTGTCCCTTTTGGAAGTGATTTTTGCAAAATTATTGATTTATTTACACGAGTTACAACTTGTGCTTTTTGATATAAGATTGATAAGAATGAGGTCCCTCTTTCGGTCTTAACAAAGTCCTCTAAATATCAAGCTAACAGATTAGAACAGATTAGAACAGAAATTAATATTGTGTATGAATATCCCATTTTTAAATCATTCTACCTGAAGGTTTCAAATAATCTCAAGTTGCTGTTTTTAAAAATAAAAGCCTTGTCCTGTTAGGATGGATACACACACACACACACACACACACACACACACACACACACACACACAGACTACAATTATTACATCTCAGCAACGAATTTACACAGCATCCATTAATATATCAAAATACCCGACACTCAAAAGCACGATAAAATTACCTTTAATTTTACAGTCTATTTCTCTCTCCTGCCATGCTTTCAGTGATAGCTTTCAGTTGGGCCTAAGTTATGTTGGATAGGAAGAAAAAGGTGGTTTTATACAAGAAAGGCTCAAAGGCAGCACACATGTTCTTCAGGTTAACCGCACATTCATTCGTGTGATGTCACTCCCATCAAGCATATTTTCAAGGTGAAGCTGCACGCTTGCAAGAGCGCACACGTGGAAGCTAAGAGCTTGTTGCAAACGTTGGGCAGGTGAAGTGACCGGATGTGTAAAGGAAGAAAGGCTCCTGCATTGCCAAGAACACATGCTTAACTTCACCGGGAGTGATCACTCACACTCCAGAAGTTCCTAATAAAGCCACTGGGATCATTAAGGGTCCAGGAGCTGGCGAGGGCTTCCCGGAGCGCTGGACGTCCACCCGGCCAGCACACACGCACCCCACCAGGGCTCCCTCGGGCGGGGGGATTCACCAGTAATAAAAGAAAAAGAGGAGAGGTGGGCGCAAAACACCCGCGGATCCGGCAGAGGAGAACTCACTTCTCGGGAGGTGTCGGGTCCCTGGGAAGGCGTGCCCGGGCCCCGGCCAGCGGCCAGCGGCCAGCAGCCTGCGGCCAGCGGCCAGCCTCGCTCCGGCGGACGCACGGAGCGGCGGGAGGGAGAGCCCGACACGAACACAAACACAAACACGCTCCGCGTCCCGGCGGTGGGCGGGCTCACGCCACCTCACCATTCCCCGCCCCTGGACCCCGCGGCACCCCTCGGGCCCGAGCCCCGAGTCCCGGGAGCAGCCGAGGCGGCCGGGAGCACGGCCGGCAGCGCCCGGACCGACCCGCAGTTGAGGAGGAGACTCGGGAGAGCGGCGCCGACAGCGCGGCCGTGTGCGGGGGAAAGAACCGAGCGCCTCTGCCCGCCCTCCCCGCAGCGCGCGGGAAGCGGCCTACCCACCCCCAAAGCTCGTCCTGTCGGAATCGCCGCTCCCACCTTCCGCCGCCGCCGCCGCCAGCAGGGAAGCCGGAGCGGCGGGGGTCACGGCGGGGGTCAGAGGGTAAAGGTCTTGCTCCCAGCAGCCTCCGCGGTGGATACGTCGCCATCTTGGATCCGCGGGACAAGAAAATTCATGCGGTGAGTTTTTGGCCAATTTTCGCAAGTCTGGCAGCGGGGCGCGTGGCGGGGGCGGCAGATTCGGGGTCCCCGCCAGACGGGGTAATGCCTCGGGGCCGGGTCGGCCGCTCCCGGGGTCCGCGGGTAGCGTCCCGGCCCGCCGCTTCCCGTTGCTTTTGTCTGGGCTCCAATCGAGAGAGAGAGAGAGAGAGAGAGAGAGCGAGAGAGCGAGAGAGAGAGAGCGAGCGAGCGAGTGAGCGAGCGGGGGAGAGCGGAGCGGGCGGGGAGGGGGTGGCGGCGGCGGAGGAGGGAAGGAGGTGTGTGTGTGTGTGTGTGTGTGTGTGTGTGTGTGTGTGTGTGTGTGGGGGGGTGGACGGCGCGCCGGGCGTCGCTGGGCTCGGCCGCCGCCGCAGCTGCCGATCCCCGGCCCGGTCCGCGGGGCTCCCCCGGGCGCGGCGGCCGCCGGAGCCCCTGCCCGGTCCAGCCGGCTCTCGGGCCCTGCTAGCAGCTGGCGCTTGCCGCTGCCGGTCCACAGCCGCCCTCGTGTCTGTGTGTGTGTGTGTCTCTGTGTGTGTGGTGTGTGATGGGGCGCTCCGGCTAACGGCCCTGGCAGACCCGCGGCCGTGCGTTGCTGGCGGGAGCAAGGCCGGCGAGATGCTGCCGCCTCTTGCCATTGCACCCGCAGGCTGCAGCTTCCGTCCTGCGCGGCGGCATCCGAGAGGCTCGCCCAAGCCCCAGGTCTCCGCTTCCGCCGGGGGCCCTCTGCACCTTCTCGCTCTCTGTCTTGGGGTGTAAACTTCGAAGTTTGGCGGAAGCAAGCGTCGGGTTAGAAGAGGCTCCTGGAGTTGTTTGAATTGGGGTCCTGTGGCCCGCCCCCCCCCCCTTAGTAACGGTGGTCCTTGTGGAAAAGCATCTTTCCAAGGGGCTTTAGAATATGCATCCGTCCCAAGCCGAGTGGGTACGGTGTTATCACTAGGAAAGCCTCACATACGGGTACCACCCTCCCAGGAGGAACCTAAACATCAACTTCCTTCCAGTCCTAGGAGACGTCTGCACTTTTCAGCCCCCGGAAGACCGGGCGCAGTGTATTCTGTTGCGTTTTCATAAAAGTCTTGATCAGAGAACCATCCCTTCTTGATCAGCCTAACATTTCATAGTAATTCAGAACCTTTGCATTCTGTGCAAAATGGTGAAAGTCCCACACTTAGTTAACACACTGTTTTCGGGAGGGAAGCCATACTTGAATTTCATATTCAAAGTTGGACACGTTCCCTGTCATGCTAGATAACTGTGACTTTTGAGAGCCCGGGAATCCCTAAGTGGAATTGTGAATTTACCTCTTGAAACGGCATAGTGGAGATAACAGCACAGGATGGAGGAAGGGAACAGACATTCCAAGGGATGTATTTACACAGCAGGTTTCTCTTGCCTGTGAGAAGGCGTGGTGTCTTTGAAAGCAGTTCTTCCCCAAATATCTGTGGGTAGATCTCTCTCAGTTTGATTTGTCACAGATTTAAAGGATTCAACAAGAGTCACAGTGAGTTGAAATGCTTCAGTGTCTGTTCAGATCTCTTCATTGAAATGTTTCTTAATGGACCCAATGGTATTAGTAAGCTGTGTGTGTTTGTAGTTCTGTTGTATTAAATCTAAAGGAAGAGAACACAAAGTACCCTTTTTGGGAATTGAGAGGAGATGCCTTCCTCTTCATCCATTTCTTGCCTTTGCGAATAAGCATTAAACTTTGGAAAACTCCTTTTCCCCTGTTGTTGTTGTTGTTTTTCTTTCTCCCCACTTGAGGGCTTGGATTGTATTATTGTTATTACTGTTTGATAAGAAATTAGAAACTCTTCTCATTATTATACATCCCAGTTTATTGCTACATCAATTTCAGAAAGTTTACATGAGCATTTGTGAGCAGAATACCTTTGTTCAAAGTATACAGTGTAGAGATATATATATATAACATGCTTATCCTAGAGAATGCGAATTGTTTGTTTAAGCAACAAATGTGGTCTTCTAAGGTTTGCAATTTCTATAATACATTAAAAGTTAACCATAAATGGTGGAAAAATGAAGGCAAAATGCACTGTGTGGGTGATTTGTATCTATTGTAACACCTGATTGCAAAGATAAAACTTAGAATAATATTATCTCTCTAAAAGAAGTAATTATCTTTGTTACCATTTTGTAACTTTGTATATTTAATTTACATAGATTTTCCTGGGGAAACTTTTTTGAAAAGTAAATGTTTCTAATTTAGGAGTAGAGTTCTTTAGAATTGCATCTGAGTTCTGAAAACAACGTTTTGAAAGACTAGTAAAAATTTTCATAACGTGTGAAAAGTTACAGTTTTACTTTGCTGAATTGCAGATTTGCCTCAGAAGATTTTCTGGTAACAGAAAAATACACACCTCACATGTATGGTGTCTTCAATAATGGAAAATACGTATTATGAACTTCAATTATTTGGAACCCATGTGAACATATCTCATAATTTGTTTTCTCATAAACTCTTTGAAGTATCCCCCCACAATCCCATGGGAAATACTGAGTAGATGCTAATTAGACTGGTTAAAAAAAAGAAACTTAGTTTGCAACTTTTTTTTGCAACTTTTAAAAAGCAGTAGTGTTAAATGACAGTAGTACTTTTAATTATCTTAAAAATGTTAACTCAGAAAATTCATTCTGTTGTGATTACAAACTTGAAAGTCAAATCTAAGGATTGTCTGTACTTTCTTAGACATTCAAGACACTTGATAGTGGTACAGCCTTTGGAAAAGATACTAGGAGATTTTTTTTTTTTTTTTTTTTTTGTTATGTGGCTCTCTGGTGGATTTTGTAACACGAAGAAGAAGGAAGGAAGCTGAGGTGCCAGGTAGGGCAGTTACAGGGCAGTTAATGTGAGTTGTACTGTAGTGTTGGAGTGGAACTGCATACAGTATTGATTAAGGAAGGGATCTAGTGCTGTGATACGAGTCATTCTGGCTGATGAGGAAAGTAACTGCTCTTCTCAACGCTGGTCAATGCCTGTGGTCTTTAAAGGAGCTGTATTTCATTGGGACCTCTGCTAGATACTTGGAAAAGAGCTGCACCAAGATTGGAGTCTCTTGATGTCTTATAAAAAGTTGGTCTTTGAAAAGAGGTAGAAAAATATGTTGAATTTTGAGGTTTTAAACCTGTCGTGGTTTCTTCCCTAATCCTTTTCGTTGACGTTTCATTCAGCTTAGATAGTGCATATTTTGTGTCTTTAGCTTTTCTGTTTGGCATCCTTTGATTTCTACATTAAGACTCAGATCTGTGACAAATTATTCTGACATGCATTTATACCATTAGGGATGACTTGGAATAGCACTCTTCCTGACTTTTCTGATAACTCATTAACTAAAATGCAGCACATTTCTTGCTTGAGTGTATGTTGTATTGTGAAGTGATAAAATGGTTTCTTGTTTTATTTATTAGGGAAAAACTGACTTTTAAATGTGAAAGTGACTTATCTAGGAAAAAATGGAAAAACTTTGATTTCTGGGCATATTAATATTTTGTATTAGTTTAAATTCAAGATATGAGTCCATTTAGATATAGTTAAATATTCCTAACAGATCTGTCACTTACATGAAAGTTTTCCTTTTTTTTTTTTTAAGATTTATTTTACTTGAACGAGTTAGAGATGGATGCCAAAAGGGAGAGATTTTCCATCTGCTAGTTCATTCCTCTGATGGCTGTAATGGCCATAGCTGGACCTTTCTGAAGCTGGGGACCATGAGTTTTTTCCATGATCTAGCTCAAGGCCTTGGACCATCCTCTGCTGCTCTCCTAGGCCTTAACCAGCGAGCTGATTAGAAAGTGGGGCAGTTGGGATTCGAACCATCGTCCACATACAATGCCAGAACCACAGGTGGAGGCTTAGCCTGCGTCTATACCCTGGTGACTTCTTTTCTTGTCTTTTGTCTTTTAAAGGCTTATTTGTTTATTTGAAAGGCAGGGTGATGGAGGGGAAGAGGTCTTCCGTACTTGGGTCCATTCCCCAGAAGACTTCAGTTTCCTGGCTGGTGGTCCAGGCTGAACCAGAAGCCCAGAATGCTATCTGGATCGCTCCTGTGAGCAACAGAGGTTCTAATACTTGGGCCCTCTTTTGCCACCCTGATTGGCATGTTAGAGGAGAAGTGGACGGGAAGTGGGTCAGTCAGGATTCAAGTGGCTGCTCCCATGTGGGATGCTAGCATCATCCCACAGTGTGTTGACACTCTTGCCTGTAAGTTTTCCTTTTTATCTTCTCGCACAAGTGAAAAGGGGGTATTTTAGCTATTCTTTCTCTGTTCCATGATAGAACTATTCTGAACTCTTCTCTGTTAACTCTGTTCTTGAAACCTTTCTTGACTCTGAAAATCCTTTCATTGTATTGCTTTAATATCCTTTGTACCTCTTTTCACACTGTATTATAATTTACAATAACTGCCTCTGTATTGTATACAACTAGAGGTAGGGCTCTGTCTTGTTTATATTTGCATTTCAGTGCATGTAGTACCTAGTAGTTTCTCAATAAATACACATTGCCATGTGTCATTTGACATTTGATGTTTAGGGTGTTGTTTCCCTGCTAGTCTTTCAGAAGCAACAAATTGGAAATGGGTGCTCTGTGTTACTTTCATATCTCTGAATCCTATCTTATGCTTTTGTAATTAATTATATGAAAGAAGATCATTAGCTTTTATTATTTGTCTATTTGAAAGGCAGGGTACACAGAGAAAGGGACAGAAAGATCTTCATCTGCTGGTTCACTTCCCAAGTGTCTACAACAGCCGTAGCTGGGCACATCTGAAGCCAGGAGCCAGGAACTTCTGGGTCTTGCACTTGGGTGCAGGAGTCCCGAAGCACTTGGGCCATCCTCTGCTTGCTGCTTTTTCT